TTCTCTTTTTTTATGGCTGAGTAGTATTCCACTGTGTAAATGTACCACAGTTTTTTTATCCACTCACCTACTGATGGGCACTTGGGCTGCTTCCAAATCTTGGCTATTGTGAAAAAATGCTGCAATGAACACAGAGGTGTATATGGTCTTCAAATTAGTGTTTCGGGTTTCTTCGGATATATTCCCAGAAGTGGAATCGCTGGGTCATAAAGCAGTTCCATTTTTAACTTTTTGAGGAAACTCCATACTGTTCTCCACAGTGGCTGCACCAGTCTGCATTCCCACCAGCAGTGCACGAGTGTTCCTTTTTCTCCACATCCTCGCCAGCACTTGTTGTTTGTTGATTTATTGATGATGGCCATTCTGACAGGTATGAGGTGATATCTCACTGTGGTTTTAATTTGCATTTCTCTGATGATTAGTGACATTGAGCATTTTTTCATATACCTATTGGCCATCTCTATGTCTTCTTTGGAGAAGTGTCTATTCAGGTCCTATGCCCATTTTTAAATTGAATTCTTTGTTTTTTTTTGGAGTTGAGTTGTGTAAGTTCTTTATAAATATTGGATATTAACCCCTTACCAAGTGTGTCATTGGTGAAAATGTTCTCCCATTCAGTGGGTTATATTTTCATTTTGTAGACTGTTTCCTTTGCGGTGCAAAAACTTTTTCGTTTGATGTAGTCCCATCTGTTTATTTTTCCTTCTGTTTCCCTTGCCTGAGGTGATATATCAGAAGAAAATATTGCCACAAGAACTGTCCAAGATTTTACTGCCTATGTTTTCTTCTAGGGGTTTTGTTTTTGTTTTTCTTCTAGGATTTTTATGGTTTCGACTCTTATATTTAAGTTTTAATCCATGTTGAGTTATTCTTGTGTGTGGTGTAAGAAGGTTGTCTAGTTTCATTTTTCCCCACCTATTTGTCCAGTTTTCCCAACACCATTTATTGAATAGACTATTTTACTCCATTTATATTTTTACCTCCTTTGTCAAATATTAATTGACCGTAAAGGTGTGGGTTTATTTCTGGGCTCTCTATTTTGTTCCAATGATTTATATGTTTAGTTTTATGCCAGTGCCATGCTGTTTTGATTACTGTGGACATGTATAGTACAACTTGATATTAGGTAGGGTGAGTTCTCCAACTTTGTTCTTCTTTCTCAAGATTGCTGTGGCTATTGGGGGTCTTTTGTGGTTCCATATCAACTTTTGGAATATTTGTTCTAGTTCTGTGAAATACGCCATTGGTATCTTTTTTCCCCCCCAGAAAGGAAGGGAGAGGGAGAGGGAGAGAGAGACAGAAACATCAATGATGAGAAGACGCCATCAATCGGCTGCCTCCTGCATGCCCCCTATTGGGGATCAAGTCTACAACCAGGGCATGTGCCCTTGATCAGAATCGAACCCGGGACCCTTCAGTTCACAGACCGTCACTCTATCCACTGAGCCAAATTGGCCAGGGCACACCATTAGTATCTTGATAGGAATTGCATTGAATCTATAGATTGCTTTGGGTAGTAGGGACATTTTAATGATGTTAATTCTTCCTATCCATGAGCATTGTATATGTTTCCACTTATTTGTATTTTCTTCAATTTTTTCTTCAGTGTCTTATAATTTTCAGAGTGCAGGTCTTTTACATCCTTGGTTAAATTTATTCCTGGATTGGTCCCTTTTTTTGTCAGTTGTAAATGCAATTATTTTCTTGGTTTCTCTTTCTAATAGCTCATTATTGGTGTATAAAAATGCAACTGATCCCTGGCCAGTATTGCTAAGAGGTTAGAGAATTGACCTGTGGATTGAAGGGTTTCAGGTTCGATTCCTGGTCAAGGGCACGTTCCTGGGTTGAATGTTCATCCCTGGCCCCAGTCAGGGGCGAGTGTGGGAGGCAACCAATTGATATCTCTCTCTCTCTGTCTCTCTCTCTCTCTCTTTCTCTCTCTCTCCCCTCCCCTGCCTCCCTTCCACTCTTTAAAAATCAATGGGAAAGATATCCTCAGGTTAGGATTAACAAAATTTAAAAAGCAACTGATTTCTGGATATTTATTTTTTTATCCTGTTACTTTACCTAATCCATTTATCAGTCCTAGTTGTCTTTTGTTGGAATCTTTATGGTTCTCTATATATACAGCATCTTTTTATCTTAGAATAGTGACAGTTTTACTTCTTCCTTTCCTATTTGGTTGCTTTTTATTTCTTTTTCTTGTCTGATTATTGTGGCTAGGACTTCGGTGCTATGTTGAATAAGAGTGTGAAAGCAGACATCTGTATCTTGTTCCGGATCTTAAGGGAAAGGCTTTTAGTTTTTGCCCCTGAGTACGATGTTAACTGTGGATTTGTCATATATGGCCTTTAATATGTTGAGGTATGTCCCTTCTAGTCCCACTTTGCTGAGTTTTTAATCATAAATTAGGGGCCCAGTGCATGAATTTGTGCACGGGTGGGGTCCCTCGGCCTAGCCAGCGATCGGGCCCATTGTGGCATCTCCCCCAGTCCTGATTAGGGCGATTGGGCCGGCCAGGGGAGTGGGGGGGAAGGGGCCGCGGGAGGTTGGCTGTGGGAGTGCACTGACCACCAGGGGGCAGCTCCTGAATTAATTGAGTGTCTTCCCCTGGTGGTCAGTGCACGTCATAGCGACTGGTCGACCAGTCGTTCTGGTCGACATGGTTGCTTAAGCTTTTATATATGTAGATGGGTGCTGGATGTTATCAAATGCTTTTCTGCACCTATTGATATCGTCATGAGGTTTCTATCCTTCATTTTGTTTATGTGATGTATCACATTAATTGCTTGTGGCTATTGTACCAGCCTTGCATCCCGGGTATAAATCCCACTTGGCCATGGTGTGTGACCTTTTTGATGTATTGCTGGGTCTGGTTTGCTAATATTTTGTGAGGAGCTTAGCATCCATGTTCATTCGGGATATTGGCCTATAATTTTCTCTCTTTGTGGAGTCTTTATCTGGTTTGTAAATTAGGATGGTTCTGGGCTGGTACAATGAGCTTGGGAGCCTTCTGCCTCCTGGATGCGTCGGAATGGTTTGAGAGGACAGGTGCTCGCTCTTGAGTGTTCGGTGAAGTTACCTGTGAGGCCATCTGGTCCAGGGCTTGCTTGTTGGGAGTTCTGAGCACGGCTTCAACTTCATTAGTTGTAACCGGGTGAAAACTGTGATAAGCCCTTCGAGGTAGGGGAAGCCCCACCCTTACCCCACCCCCAGAGGCCTGCGTGGGGAACTGGAGGGCTGCCTTGGGCCTATGCCAGCTTACGTGCTGTGACGGGAGTGAGCTGGTTGTGGGGAAGGCCGGATGCTCGGGATAACAAAGGGGGTTCGTGGATGGTTGGTGGAGGCAAAGAAAAGGAGCATCAAGACCCTCACCCAGCCCTGTGGTCTCGCCTCCAACAACACTCCTACTCCCCCATCTCTGCCCTCCGGCCATTCTGAACTAGGGACGTTTCCAGGATATGCCACCGCCCGAGGCCTTGGCCCATGCTGGTCCCTCCACCTGGAATACCCTCCCCAAGTTGCCCATGAAGCAAACACATTTTTTCCAAGTCTCAGCTCAGATCACGCCCCACCCATTCCCACCCCGGGCAGACGCAGGTGCTGCTCCCGCAGGACTCACCTGCTGGTACACGGAGGTCAGCCCCCCGTGCTACGCTCATGGAGGGTTGAGTCTCTCTCCCAGATGCAAACTCCAGGAGGCCAAGGGTCGAGATGTTTGTTTTTCCTTTGCCCACCCCCCTGCCCCCCTCCCCCAAGCCTAGTACAGTGCCTGGTGCCCAGCAGGCCTTCAATGAATGTCAGTTGAGTAAATGAATAAAAGATGAAAAAAGAAAATAATAATTAGGCCCTCCGTCCAGGATAGCTGGCGTGAGGTGAGCACAAGCCAAATCGACTCTCTGCCATGAGGGCACCGCTACTTTTTCTTTCCTCTTCTTTCCTCCCGCCCCCCCTCATCCCCGCCCCCTTGCTATATGGCTACATTTCCCACACGTTGTGATCTACGGAACGTGCTACGATTTCTTGAATTCAGCTCTTTTCTTTGAGGGCTCCCTCTGTCACGTACACACCTCAAATAGGGGGCGGTTATGTCCCTACCAAAGGCGCAGCGTTCCGGTCTCATCAGACAGAGGATTTGTCTGGGGCGTGAAGAACAGGATTAGACAGACAGGCTTTCCATTTACACCGGGCGCTTCAGGCACAGCCGTCTCACCGCCAGGCCGCCACTGTCGGTCAGGCGCCTGAGTTATAGCTCACCGGCTCCCTCATCCCCTCCTGCGCCTCCCGCTTAACCCCTGGTGACCTGGAGCTGTGGAAATAACCCTGGGCACCCGGCCACCTAATCCATGGCTTTTGCGTGGAGTCCTCCATCTCCACCTCCCGGAGTTATAGGATGCCACTGCCCTTCTTCCTGAAACCCTCAAAATCCCCGGCTCTGCAGCATTTGCCGCGACCTCTGCCCACCCCACACTCGCGTCTGAGCTTTTGGCTGAGTTTGCTGACCCAGCTTCCTGCTGGGCATGGCCGTGTGGCTGTCTCAAAGGGGAAACACTGAAGCAGATGAGGACCCGCCATGCCAAGCAGGATCCCTTTATACCCCTGCGAACATCACCGCCGCCGCCCATTCTCACAAGCACCTCCCTCTCCCTCGTGCCACTCCCCTCTCCCCCCATCGCAAGCTTGGGACGTTCAGCTCCTGAATTCCTCTCAAGCTCCTCCAGGAGCCCCGGGATGGCTGTTTCTGGTCACTGCGCTAACCCAGTGCTACTGGCAGGGCGCCTGGCACACGGCAGACCTGGATGAACACGTGCTGCCTGAGTGGGGAAGTGAGCCAACAGTCCCACTGACAAATGGCAACGCTGACGCTCAGAGAAGGGGAGCGATTGGCCCACGGTCATCGGACGGACAGCCAGGACTGGGCCCGAGGGCGGCTCCGTGCCCCCCGTGCCCCGCTCCGAGCACAGGGCGGTGCCCTTGCTCCCGCCGGGGCCGCGCCTTACCTGAGAGCACCGTGAACACGGCCGCGAAGGCATTGAGCTTGAGCCCGTCGATGACGCTGCTGGAGTGGAAGAGCTCGAGACACATGAGGCTGAAGCCGACCACCAGCAGGAGGATGTAGAGCACCTCGGAGACCACCGACAGCCACAGGACCCCTGCGCGACAGAGCAGAGGCCGTCAGAGGAGGGCGCAGGGCGGCCGCTGCGTGCCCACCCACCGCGCCCTCGGTCAGGGCATCGGGCCGTTTGGCACAGACCTCAGCTGGAGGCTGTCCTGCTTAGGGTAAGACCGCCATGGCCACACATCCTCCTCGCGGACTGGCTCAGGACCCGAGCCCATGCCAGTCGGCCCGTGGCACTCTGCGTGGCGGCACTTGTGCAGATGGCATGTGACCAATGAGGGGGCCCATTCAGAGGGGAGGGGGGAGCTTCAATCCTGTAACAATACCCGAGCCTCTCGTCCTCTGCCCACCTGTCGGATGACGGCCGCGGGAGCCATCCTCGGCCAGGCGGGTGGGATGAAGCTGACACTGTGTTACTGAGCACAGCGACAGAAAGGTGACCTCCCTGGACCAGCAGCCACCAGCCCTGGGGCTTCCCTGTGGTTCAGCCGGTCAGTGTGACGTTCCCTTATCTGCAGCTATGAGCATCCCAACTCATGCACACATTGCACCTGCCCTCAAGGGGCACCTTCATTTTCACCTGCCCTGCACCCTCCTCACTGTTTTCTCTAAACCACCACTGCTGCTCCCGCAGCACCAACCTCACTGTTCTCCCCGGGAGCTGCAGGGTCTGCTGTGGGTCCCCCTTTCTGGGCACAGCTGATTGGCCCAATGTGATCACATGACTGAGAGTTGGCCCATCAAAGCCCTTCTCTAGGAACTGAGCCTGGAAACACCGAAGTAGACGGGAGGAAAGGCTCTGACAGCCTGAGCGCCTGGTTCCCGCCGGTCCTGAAGGCAGACGCACTCCTGTCCTTCCGGTGGTTTGGCTGTTCCGAGCTACGGTGCAGTCCCTGAGGCAGCACAGCTCTCTTCCCCGAAATTGGTCCAAACTGAGTTCCCATCATCTGCCTCTTAGTTTAGGGGCATCTTCTGTTTCGCCCGCCCCACATGCCCCCTGCTTCCCACATGCTTTTCAACTGGGGAGTCCCTTCCCTCTCTCTGCCTATGCAGCTCAGTTGCAGCTGACCCACAGCTGGGCTCCATGTTTGGGCACACGAATCATACATGGCCCCTAGTCATTGGTTCAGGAATGGTCCTCTCTATGCCGCAGTTTTTTCACCTATAACATGAGGATAATAATAGCACCTATTCATACATCGCTGTGCTGTGAGGATTCAATCGCACAGCAGTGTAACGAGCTCGTGCGTAGCACACAGTGAGAGCCGGCTGGCTGCGTGTGTGCTATTGCAGCTGTGTGGCCGGAGCACAGTGGGGACCGGGGCTCTTGAATGAGGTCAAGGCTACAGACAAGGTCAAGACGGAGAAATAAAACCGTGGGAGCAGATAAGATTCTGAGGAAAAGGGTAGAAAGTAGAAGATGGAACACATCCGTGTCACTTGCCTTCCAAACCACACTAAGTACATGGTGTGAGCAAGACGCATACTTCAGAGAAAGGACGGTGGGCCAGGCTTGCCCAGCCAGGGATGGACACATGACTCAAGTCAGTTCAACAAAACTTCCGCTGGAACCACTGGGGAAGAAACTGCTTTCCTCCACTGGTTGTGAGGCTGGGAAGATGTAAGCTTAGAATTGACCAGGCCACCAATTGGCAGATGTCGAAGAAGGTAGAGCCAAGAGATGAAGGAAGATCGTGTTCTATAACGTTGTTCGAGCCCCTAGATCCAGCCAAGCCTGAAGCTGCCAGTCATCTGTTCTTTCAATTTGAGGTAGAATTCTGTCACTTACAACTAAGAGTCCTGATCTTCAGCTTTTCTGTTCTCTGGCACTTTCAAATGTGTGTGTGTGTGTTTTTTTCCTATCTCTGTGCCTTTTGCACTAGTTGTTCCTTCACCTGGAATATCCTAGGGACAGCCAACATATGTGGAGCCAGCAAACAGCAATTGCAGCGTCCCTGTCTGCTCCCCGAGGAAGAAGGCCGGTTCTCAAACACCAACTACCATCCCCAGCACAGCGGGGCTCTGAGAGCTTTGAAGAACTTGTTCTTTTTCCCCCTCTTTTTTGTTGTTGCTATAAAAACATCACATCTCCTGGGCATCCCTGGATTTCTGTAAGAGAATAATGTGCACTTGGCAGCTGGGATGTTGTTAAAACACCCCCTGGCACCGCACACTGCAGCCTCCAGGCCCATCACTGGCCCAAGGCCCGCCAGGCAGCAGGGAGGGAGGCAGACGTAGGGCGAGGTGGGCTGTCTCCCTCCCAGCAGCCTTCACCTCCGGGCGGTTGCTGTCCCGCGGTGGGCGGAGGCTGCCCCTCACCAGGGCCGCTCCCTGACTCAGCCGCCTCCCCTGCACCGCCCCACGCCCCAGGCGCTGCTCTCATCTGCCCAGGTGGGCCCTGGGCCAGGCCTCCCCACGCACAGCAGGGCCCCGCTCTGCTCTTTCAAACGGGATGGGCGATGGGAAGGTGGGGGGCTGGGGAGCTCGGAAAGTGTCTGGCTGGGGTTACGCTTCTTATTCCGCCAGATTCGTTTCCTTGTCTGCCCGCTGGGCTCAGAGCATCTGTCTGAGAGCTTCCATCCACCCAGACCAAGGACACTGGTAACAATAAGCATTGCTATTGTTACTACGCTGATAGCAACAACAGTCACAAGAAGGGCTCCCATTACCAGGCGTCATCATTGCCAAGCCAGCCTGGACCAGGTGCTCCACCCGCCCGCCCGCACCTCTCGTCCGAGTTCCTCTCTTGGAGGATGGTCCTTGGGCAACTGGAGTCTGTGTCCACCTTCATTCAGAAAGTCTCTGCAAACTTACATTTCCCTCCAGCCCCCGCCCACCAGAGGCCAACCCTCAGCTCTGCCTGTGCCTCTGGCTGTGACAACCCTGGGATGTGACCCAGACTGCAGACCCTCCCCTTGTCCCTTCCCCCCCGCCAGGGGACAAGGCTACAGCTGTCTCCCCGGTCCTGCTGACATTGTCCCCTTACTTGCCTCCCTCCCTTCCCTGTCCTGCTTCCCAATTGCCTTACACTCTCCTGGGTCATTTTCCTTATGAAAGACCTGCCTGAATCCTCACCTTAGGTTCTACTTCTGGGGAATCAGACCTGAGACACTAACATTCACAGGCATTATCACCCCAATCCTCCCAACAACCTTGCAAGGTCGCGAGGTAGCACCCATTTTAAGATGAACAAACTTAGGTCCAGAGGGATTAAGCAACTGGTCTGCACAGCAAGATAATGGTACAGACTGGATTCGAACCCAGGCCCCTCTGAGTCCAGGAGCCATCACAGGTAGAGAGCTGAGCTGGCAGGATGGAGTGGCCACTTTGTAATCACCATTCTCCAAGCCTGGGCTGGCCTCAGGGGCCCGTCGGGGTGGGGCGAAGCGTTCCCCAGCCACGGCTCTCATCTGTCTGCTCTCAGCATCACAGACAACACCCAGCCTGGGATCCCTGCAAGAGGCTGGCCACCGAGTGGGGGTGGCACTCAGACGGACATGGGGCACAGGCAGGACACAGGCACTCTTCGCGCACTTGCTGGGACCGTCCACTGGGCGGGAGCTGGAGGTGTGGGAGGTGTGGGAGGTGTGGGAGGTGTGGGAGGTGTGGGAGGTGTGGGAGAGGATGAGATGCCTGTGAAAAGCATGTGGAGCAAAAGAGAGGGAGGGGGGTCCACGGAGCATCAATAATCCAAGGAGGGGCAGTGACACCGTGGCGTCCCCCACCCCTGGCCACAGCACTTCACCAAGCACATTGCCACCTGCCAATACCTGAGGGCTTGCCAGCCTCCTGAGCCCACCCCCACCTCCACCCACCTTTGCACCAGGCTGGGCACCCCCGCCCATCACCCCCCTCCAATGCCTGGCGAGCGGGTGAGTACTGCCCCTTGGGCAGCGCTGGGAGGGAGGTGCTATCTACATGGCCTTAAGTGTGTTAAACCACAGCGTTAAACTATCTGAATCAAAGAGTGAATTTTTAAATTATTAACACCTCAATCAAGAGTCTCTATTTGATGCGAATGTGTCCTTAACACCTTTCCCACACTTGTTAATTGTTTAAAACAAGGAGAGAGCTCAGAAGCCTCAGCAGTTTCTAGGCAGACTGCAGATTTGGAGAACATCTGACAGTTACTTCTGAGCTGATGATCCCCCCTCCCCACCCCCTACCCCACCCCACGGCTCCCAGCTCCCCCGTGGTCTCGAGCCACTTCTCTGCCAGTGGCTCCTCCTCCTGCCAGGACCTCCGCCCCGAGGTCCACAGCTCCAGGCCCTGGAACACTGTCCCGCCCTGTGCCCCCTCCTGCCCAAGGCTGTGGCGGCTCCCCTCTGTCCAGCCTTGGGGGGCTCATCTCTGAGCCCTGCCCGCCTCTGTGAGTCCTGTCATTACAGTGCCCTCGTTCGAACCATTGGGGGAAACGGCTCCCTTCAGAGACCGTCCCTGACACACCATTTTCACGGCGAAGGATCTAAGGAGAGTAGGGGCCTAAGCCAGGGTCTCCACGTGGCTGCCTGACCACGGCAGCAGCGCTGGGGAACTTCGGATGCAAATTCTCGGGCCTCACCCCAGACTCACTGAGTCAGACACTCTGAGAGGGGCCCTCTGCACTTTCACGAGCCCCCGTGACGCTGATGCACACCCCAACGTGAGCACCACTGATCCAAACAAAGTCCCCGTTAAACACACGGATGAGAGAGGGAGTTGACCTGGGGGAAATGCGAGACGCTGGGTATGGTGCCTGGTGAATAGAGACCAGATGGTGGGAAGGGACACGGTTGTGTGGGCCTGGCTACGATGAAGGCTCGCTCTTGTTCGTGCCATGCAACGCCAAGGAGGCCGCGGGACAGTGGGCACAGCCTCGGTGGGGCCCGCAGGGCTTGCCCTGGAGATGCAGGAAAGGCTCACCCATCACGGGCTGACTGCTGCCAGCCTCGGAAGCCTGCACTAACGGCTGGATCTGCGGCTGAGAACGGAGCAGAAGCGAAATGATTTCTCATCAGGTGCGGGCCTGTGGGGTGACAGCTAATCCTGTTAGCT